TATTTCAATATCATGTGAGTTGGATGCAGTTATATTATTGTCTTCAGTTACAATTTCATAACCTTTTTCATGACATTAATTAAATTTAATATCATGTTAGCCAAAGTGAGCACAGAGAATGTGGGCCTATGTTCTCCTAATGGCACCTATCCCTCATCCTGTCTCATTATGTCAAGGTTTTTTTTCTGCAAATGTGCATTGATTCATGATAAAAGATAGGCTCTCATCTCAGATGATAAGAATTGTGTGTATATATTCCTTACTGTTCCAATATCACAGCAAATGACATACAGTTTTGTTAGTGAGGAACTACAATGACGTTATTGAACATGCAATTATATATATATATATATATATATATATATATATATATATATATATAATTTTTTTGTTAAAAGTTATCTGTTCCCATTAGACATGTTATTACCCTACTTTTTTAGACACTTTCTTTTCATATTCTTTGAACCAAATATGTTTTAACGGCTTCACTACCAAGTGTTGCCCAATCACACATTATATATATGTAATTTGCATTAATCTGAGAAGTAAAACAGTGTACAGACATCATGTCACCTCTCTTGTGAAACCACCAAAGAGCAAAACAAAAACAGAAATTTTAGGATCATTGTCCCTTTATATTGATGAAGGGACATAGGTCCAAAAACATGTGTTTTAGTTTTGTTCATCATTAAGCTTTGGGAGTTTCGCAAGAGAGTCCAGAGCAACTAAGTCTCATCTAACACCTATACACTGCTTGCTTTCACTTTTTACTTTTTCATTTAAATGCTGTAGGTTTTGCATTAATGCTGCACTAGTGTTAATATAATTTACTCGACAGGTAGTAGAGTTCCTACACTAATTTTAATTTGAAAGTGATTAAATGATTAATCCTGAATCATTTCATTAAATGTGTCGATAATATCCAATAATAACAAAACATTCCATAGACAGGTACTGGACAGATATTATACCTCCTGTCTTCACTAAAATAAATGTTACTATCAATGACAGTTAAAGGATCGATTAGAAAACCAACTCCCTGCACCATTCATACATGTATTTGAAATTGTCTGTGAGCCATGGATTGAATTTGGCAATGGATTGAATTTGGCAAGTTAAAAACACATAAATAACTTAATAAAAGGATAGTACATGATAGTTGATATGACATGTTTCTAATATATATTAATCTAAAACGAGGATGGGAAGATAAAAATAAAAGCTATTGAATTATCCCACGTGACTTGCGGCACTTCCGCGCTTTGGAAGCTATCCTAATTTGATTGTATGGACCATTTTGGCGCCAATATTTCAATTATTTCTGTCCCTATATAACACTAACTTGCCAGGTATTGTATGTAATTCCATTTGAAAAAGTCTGTTGACGAAACGCGTTATGGAAATTTTATATTGTGTATTTTTGTATTAAAAGTATTTTGGTCATTTATTTATGCCAATTATCCCTTTTTTTATACACATAATTTTTATTCTACCCTGGCTTTTTATTATTCTATTTTTTATGCTTTTTGGTTTTATTACCCTTGGAAGTCCCCTGCACCCCAAGAAATCCCAGGTGGGGATCAATCCACCTACGCTGATATTAAAGAGCAGTCGGTCTGCTCTCCACTTGTAAGTACGATTTTATTCATTTATATTGAGACTGTCATACAGTGAGCACTATTGGTTGTCTCTTTTTCCTTTCTGAGAATTGGACACCAGTGACGGAGAGGTACCCACCACATATCCCATAAGTGGGGATTATACCGCTGTACGCGCTTTTACCCTAGAGCTGGATATAAGCTCTTACAAATGTGAGTTCTCTTCCATTATTTTCCATCACGTCCATATTTGAGCTATACATATTGCACTATTGGTTGTCCCTCTCTTTTATCTTCTATATAAGTGGAACCACTACAGTATACGAAGACCTCATCATTGCACTAACTTTCCCGAAGACCATTTGCAAGGACACATAAGTTGGACTTTCTTTTATTTGGACTTTGCTTATCTTTTATTATTTATTGTGGCACAGCATTGTCACCTGAGACCCAGTTAAGCCAGACCAATGGGTTGTGGTGGGTAATAAGAGAAAATTCCTGCCCGTACAGATAAGGTGTTAACTTTTTCAGTGCCCAGACCAGGGCTAGACACTCTTTCTCCACTGCCGCATAACTCACTTCACTGGCTAGTAGTTTCCTGCTTAAGAATGCGACAGGGTGCTCTCCTCCAGCTCTTGGGAGAAAGTTGCCTGTTTCTCCCACAGCAGCCTCTGAGCCTGTTCCTTTTCCGCAGGGCTTAACCCATCCCCTAGCTGTACAAGGCTCATCAAGTAAGTCTGGGGGTCCCTTGCCTGTAAGTCAGGTAGAGGTAACCCCTCCGAGTCGTCTGCAGCCGGGGCACACACTACAGCGACATCCTCCTGTCTCTCCTGATACTCTTTCAGCATGTTCACATGAAAGGATCGCTGGATCCTTTCATCTGTACAGCTGGCAACGACATAGGTAGTGTCACATACCTGGGCTACTACCTTGTACGGGCCCTGCCAAGATGCTTGCATCTTGTCTGTCTTCACAGAGTACTAAAACCTTCTACCCAACCTGGAAGACCCGCTGCTGGGCACCCTGATCATACCACCTCTTCTGTCTCCCTGGGCCGTCTGGAGGTTCTCTCTTACCATCAGAGACAGTTTCTCCATGCGGTCCCTGAGTTCCAGAACACATGGCACGATGGGGGTCCCTTCCTGCTCTGTCTCTCCCTCCCAGTGTCCCCTAATGAGATCTAGGGGTCCGCGGACCCTTCTCCCATAGAGTAACTCAAAGGGAGAGAATCCAGTAGTTTCCTGGGGCACCTCTCTGTAAGCAAATAACAGATGAGGCAGGAATCGCTCCCAGTCTCTGCAAGTGTCAGTAAAGGTCCTCAGCATCTGCTTGAGGGTCCCGTTAAAGCACTTGCAGAGACCCTTAGTCTGTGGGTGGTAAGGTGAACTAAGCAGCGGTTTAATGCCGCACACCTTCCACAACTGCTGGGTGAGCAGAGCAGTAAACTGGGTTCCATGGTCGGAGAGAATCTCCTTAGGGAACCTGACCCGACAACATCAGCCACTGTCCCTGCCTCTATGTTGGACAGAGCTACTGGGTAACGGGTGTCATAGTCCACCACGGTAAGAATATATTTCTTCCCGGATGGACTACCCCTGGCCAGTGGACCCTCAATGTCAACGGCTATGCGGAAAAAGGGCTCCACAATGATAGGCATAGACATAAGCCTAGCTTTTAAGTGGTCCCCCCTCTTTCCTACCCGCTGACATGTGTCACACGTCCTACAATATTGTCGCACAGCCTGGTTAAAATTTGGCCAGTAGAAGTTCTGAGTAATCCTATGTCCTGTGCGATGGGACCCTAGATGCCCGGTAATGGCACATCATGCCCAATTCGCAGAATCTCTAGCCGGTATTTCTGGGGCACCACCAGCTGGCATTTCTGTGAAGGGGCTTTACTTTTCTGGGATGGCTTAGGGGCAGCTTTGGGTGCCGGGTTATCCAGCTTGCGGGCATCAGAGTGTTCATCAGCCAAGCTAGCTGCTTCAGGAAGTGTGAGTGGCTTTCTGTCCTGGACCCATTCTCTTACCCCTGCAGATAGTCTTTCATAGAAATGTTCCAGCATGAACAACTGCAGCACCTCCTCTCCGGATACCGCCTGGCATTCAGTGACCCAGTGGACAGCCGTGCGGTTGATATGGCATTCCCACTCGGTATATGAATCCCCACTCAATTGTTAGTGTCCCTGAACCTCCACAGGTACGCCTCTGGGGTGACAGCATACCTGTCTAAGAGGGCTTCTTTCACGGCTGGGTAGCTGGTAATCTCCCTGTTCCGGTACCTTCAGTAATACATGTACAAACCGCCGTTTAGTGAATGCTCCCCGTTCGCAATAATGTTGGCTGTAAGCGTATTCAATACAACCATGTGAACCGCCAGCCAGGGAACACTCCAAACTCCCGAACGGTATCCGTACGGCCCCTTCCCTCCACGAGCCGCAAGCTCACGAATTGCCAATATCACCCGAACGCCGGTATCTCCTAAGCGGCTGATAATTCCAAAGAGCAGTCTCTAGTCGCCGGTAAATAAATCCCTGCAAGAACGAGACAAAGCTCCGTGTTGAGGGTCAAGCAGTGAACAGTCAGAGCTGTAGGTTTATTGTCCTTATGTACATCTGGGATGGCTTGGAAGGCTTCGCTTGCCCGGCCGGATAGTTTCCCAGAGAGAATAGTGACCCACTCCTCTGCGGGTACCTGGTGTAGGGCACACTGTCTTTCAAAGTCTGCCAGGTACCCATCGATCTCCCCCTCAGCTTCCACAAAGTTTTTAAATGCAGCGAAGTGTACCTTTCTCTTCCCCTGGTTGTTAGGTACCTCTGCTGCTGCAGCACCTCTTTGCAAGAGTGCCTGGTTTGCCATCACGGCTGCTTGTACCCACTCAATAATATCCTGTGTAGGGTTGGGGCCAAAGTGTGCCAGCCTAATCAGGACTGCCCGGTTGAAGCTTATTTCCTCGGGTGTCAGGTCCATAATGCTGGGCACGTTAGCTTTTTGTGCTCCGTCCATCACGAGCAGCTGAGCAATAATCTCTCTTTTTCTCAAGTTGCTTGCTGGTCGTCCTCTGTGTTCCAATATATCCTTGAGAGTGGCACGTTTCAGTCTCTCATAAGGTACTTCCATCCATCTGAGTTGTGTAGCTGACCTTCTGGGCTGTGAGAACCATCCCGTCGCTTGCCACCAATTGTAACGGCATAAAAGGGTTAAACCGCTGTTTAGTCGATCTTCCCCTTCCAGAGATAAAGGCACAGCTACTGCAGAACACCAAACTCCCGAACTGAATACAAGGGAATGCTCCAAACTCCCGAACTGCATACAAAATAGCACTCCAAACTCACGAACTGGAACCTCCCGAATAGCTGCTAGTAGACGAACAGGAAAAGCACCCAAGTGGCTTACACTCCTGGCAATCAGTCTCTAACAGCATACAGTTGATCTCCCCCCAAGAACGAGACAAGGCTCCGTGTTGAGGGTTAAGCAGTGGTCTGGTTTATTGAGGGCTACCTGCCCGGTATTTATGCAGGTCTCCCACCTGGTGGACACTCCCCTAGGGGACCAGATGGAAGACTATAACACAGACAGACATGTATCACATTCAGACACACAGAAGTAAAACATCCCCACAATGCATCCTAATTTCCCTCCCTCTATCCTGGAGATAATTGGGAAGTTTTAAAACATATAATATTACATTTACTACACCAACCCCATACATGTCACATATCCACGGAATAGCGCTCAGATCATACACATACAGTTCAATTGCCATGGAGCCAAAGTATTTAATTACACGTATAGGCTCCATGGCATAGCTATATGGGTTAAAACATTCACTTAAGTAAAGTCCCGATCAATCCAGCGTTCGTTTAAGCAACCGAAATAGAAGCAGGGAAGGCTGGAGGCTCAGCGGTGCCTGCACGTAAAAGTATCCGCTTTTAGTGCACTGATTCTGGGCTGAGCACTGCTGGCCGCCCGGGGAGCTCCATAACACCTATGTGTAACCGCGACCACCCAGTACAGTCAATTAAGCTGCGGTTAACCGCAGCTACTGGGTGATCAATTGACGGCACATGTTAGCTTCTCGGTGGTTGCGCCTTTGTGCGGCATTCGGCAGTTTAACAGGGGAACACATAGGGACTGTAAAGGCAGGGAAATAAACCAAACAACAGACGAATGGAGGGAAAATAAATGTAATCCATATACAGACAGTTCTGTTACAATTACCCAACAACATCATTGGGTGGTTAAAAGGGGACAGACCAATGATGTGATTCACATCTCTAGCACTGCTCAAAAAGGTTTACCACAGGTCATCCCACTGAGGGTGGAGCATGCAGGGAATGCTGGTTCAGTCCTCTCTGCATAGTCCTTCTGCCTGAATGTAGTGAGCATGTGTCTAGTGATGGATTGATCAATGCTTTCTTGGGTCAGTTTCATGGTATCTCCAAAATCTGGGCACAAGGTCAGGATGGTGAGACTTTCCTTACATGCACACATTCCAATACACACACATAATCAGGGGCATAGCTAGAAACCACAAGAATCAACAAAGCCTGCCCATCCTTCAACACACCTCCCCTCCAGGGGAATCTGTTGGTTTTAGGCACTGTGGAGAAAACAATGGTGGGTTGTGTGGGATATGCTGTTTGTAATCTGATGGTGGACTGGGTCAGTGGGAAGGTGCTGGGGAATATGATAGTTGAGTGGGAGGGAGGGTACTGTGAGAAATATGATAATAGAGTGGGTGAAAGACTTGGTGCTAAATAGGATGATGGGGTAGGTGAGAGGACTGGTGGGCAACACAATAGTGGACTGGGTGGGAGAGAAGCAGCTGTGGAGAATCTTATGGTGGGTTGGCTGTATAGGAAGTATACAATTAATTATATATAAAATATGTAAAATGATTTTACACTCTGTGTGGAAATTGAGTTTACGTTATGATTACTAGACTTTGTTGATATAGTGTAGCAGATGTTAACATTTATATTATAATTTCATTGCTGCGATACTAAAATGCTGTTCCAAATTTTTTACCAAAACAAAAAATAAAATAAGGTTTTATTATATCACAATAGATTATCAATAAGCAAAAAAGATACTGTCAGGCCTGCAATAATCCTGTTATAAAAGTCGTCAAAAGTGATTTATGAGACAATATTTGTATAGCTAGATGACATTTTTTACTTGTCTTTAAGTAATTGAATTTTAATAAACAAACAAAAATATTCAGCTTTTGAAAATCTAGTTCTACTTGAAATATATATTTGATAAAGTAATATTAAACCATCTCTGTCCCAGAATGATTCATATTTACAAAAGATGCCACTAACAAAGACTCACTTGCTACCTTTGTTGTACTTTTAATAAGGCATGCTGAATAATATATGCCTATGGTTCGTTTAGATCTGTCTAAAGCTTCATTTATTTAAATTGATAAGCCTTATATAATGTGACTGGCAATGACAATATGTCACTTGCTGGTGCTTTATGAAATGTCAAGCTTCTTAATTGCATCTATTCAGCTTCGAGAAAAGAAATGGAAAAGGGCAGAAATCGAGAAGAAAAAAATCATAGCTTTTCATGTTTGACTCCTCTTTCAGATTTGAAACATAGATCTGTTTCTGTATAAAGAAAAAAGTTTACATAGGAAAAGAAAAACTTTAAAGCATTTTATAAATAATCAGTTTGATGGAATTTAAAAAGTAAATGCAACAATTTCATTAATCTAAACATTATTTCTAAAGCAGTCTGTTTTTTCCAATGCTGAATTTAAATGTAATAGCATTAATATTATTGACTTTCAGAGTTGAATTACCCTTTGAGAAAGTGCCCTGCCTGAGCTGGCAGGGAGATCAAAAGATCTTAATGCCAAGGGAATATGTAGTGTGGAATAGTCTGCACTTCCCCTGGATACAGATCACATTAAGAGCTCCTTTTGGTCCCACTGCCTCCCAATGACTCAGTACATATCATCCAGGAACTGAATGCCAGAATGGCCAGGGAGCCCTTAAAGTAATCTGCACCCTACAGAGGTGCAGCCCACACTCTCTCCTCTAAAACTAAGTGGGATCTAGCCCAGAGTACCCTCCACTGGACCACCAGAGATCTTTCCTAGAGACATAGCTATGTTGTCATATACATTTTTTTATTATATAATATAGAGAATTGGGGGCATGACTGAACATGCATTTTTCAGGAATGATGCTGCCATGGAGAAGAAACAATTATACGTAATACAGATTAATCAAGAGCGCACACATACAAATACCGTTTTACATTTTATACTTACAACATTTGCTATTTTCAATTACCTATTTTAGCAAACAAATATGGGGATTCATTTGCAACATATGGCCATATTGTGTTAAACCCACCACTACTTCACAGTACCCCAATATCGGTGGTTCCTACACGAATTCCAATGTTGCAGACAAATTAAATTGTGCTAAATTGTGCTAGTGCTAAATAAGGTAAAGTGTAGGGAGCTTAGCCATACAAGAAACAAGGAAATCAAACTCTCACATCCTGTTCTTCCAAGAAACCCACTTATGATGGTGATATTCTCCAAAATTCTCCTCCTCACAGTATCCCATTAATTACTGCTCTTGCTTACACACAAAAACGGGGGGGGTTTCTATCCTAATCATTATGGATGTGCCTTTCTCTTTCATTGCCAAGAAAAGCAACGAGTGGGGGGAGGGTACTACTTCAATGTCAGGTCAATGAAATGCCATATACACTACATGTATACTACTGCATGTATACAGTCCATACAGTAATCAACTTCAGTTTCTAAATGATGTATCAAGTCTTGCAGAAAGAACTTTAGGAACTGTTATCATAGGTGAGAACACCAACTTCATATTGGACAAACATTTAGATTCTTCCTACACTAAACATAAGATGCACCATACAAAAGTCCCGAAAATGGCAATCTCCTGGAAATTCTCTCACACACTTCTAACTCAGGACTACATAAATGCATGGCGAGCTACTTATGAGATGGAATGTGATTATACCTACCATTCATATGTTTATAATTCTAAGTTAGGAGAATTGGAATGTTAAAAAAGTAACTTTCTTCTACGTAGGTTGAAACAAAAGTACTTTACTCAAGTTAAAAAGAGTGGGTACCCTGTTAACATCTCAAATCCCAAGATCACACTAAAATTGCACACCTTTTAATCTTTTATGAGGAAAATTTATACTCTGTAAGCCATTGCTATTAAAATTGTGAAATACTACACCATCCAATATAATTTGCATGTTGATAAATCCACACATGTCCCAACTTCAGAGGGAATAGATGTATTTTTAGTTTCTTGTAAATTATGTAAACTTTATCTAGCAATTAGCAATTATGCCCAATTAACAAAGGATTTTGACATTCAGGAAATCTTATCAACTATAGCATCATTACCCTCACATACATCGCCAGGACCGGATGGCTTAACAGGTATTATCATACATTTAAAAACATTTTCTCCCTTTACCTGTCAAAACTCTACAACAAATGTTATATTACAGGTTTTCTTCCACAGAAAATGCTTGAAGCTCACATAATCACTCTTCACAAGCCAGGTAAAACTCCCAGTGGCAAAGCTTCAGACCCTTTTCCCTCCTAAATGGAGACACAAAACTCTATGATCAATCAGGATTTGTACAATCAAGACAGGGGTCTGATAATATGATGAGAGTATTAAACATCTTTCATTATGTAGAGAAACACCAACATAGGCTTGTTTATCCATGTCACTAATGGGACACATTAGGGTTGCCCACTTTCACTACTATTGTTTGTTGTATCTCTTGAACCACTATCTCACGCTATCCGAACACATTCTGGCATTCATGGAGTACATATACATGGTCGGGAACATAAAGTGTCCCAATTTGCAGACAATATCTTCTTGACAATGACTAGATCCTTAGACACTGTTCCTACACTACTGACTCTTTTAAAGGAGTTTGGCAGATTGACATACTACAAATTTAACACTAATAAGACACAGGCCCTACTGACTCCCAAACAGTTCTGGGATCACAAACAGTCATGTGCAAGCCCTGCAAGTGATACATAAGTTTGATTGAAGAACATATTACTTAAACTACTTAGCTACAGTTGTGCTCAAAAGTATGCATACACTTGGAGAATTGATAGCATATGTAACATTTTTAAAGAAACATGAGTGAGCCAGCAAAACAAATTTCTTTTATTTCTTATGTGATTCATATTCAACTGTAAGTTACAACAGAATGGCACAATAATAAAAAAAAAACATGGTAACAAAGAAAAAAAAAAATAACCCCTGTTCAAAAGTCTGCATACACTTAGTCTTTAATATTGTTATTAAAGACTAAGCACCAGTAGTAGTGTGCAGTCTTTTGTAATAGTTGTCTATGAGGCTCCTATGTCTTGAAGGTGAATGGAGGGGTAGGTGGAATATCAGTACTTGCAATTGTAGGATACGGCTGCTGAAACTTCCCAAAAACCAGAGTCTCTTCTTTTCTGGTGGTACGATGGATGTAGATAGTAGGATCAGGGAGCAGCTCCTGTGAAGGAATTCCCACACTCAGAGCGATATGGAGGAGCGACACTTTGATAAAGCCTCTTTGCAGG